TCCCCAAATCTAGTTGGAGAACGTCTTCGCCGCCCCCGGAAAGTGTCCCCGTCCCAGGAGGCAGAAATGGCCCAATCGTTTGAAATGTCTACTCCAGCGGTGGACTGCTTTCCTCAAAGTCTTCCATAGAATCCCAGCGTGCACCACAGGGGAAGATCCCCGGGTCTAAACTCCCGGGCTCCCCGCGGGCCCCCGGGTTCAGGAAGGGGCCTGCACCCCTACGGGCGGTTCGACCCCCGCGGCCAGCCCGGGGCCACCGGCTGGCCCTGCCAGCCAGTCTTCAGAGGGCGATGCCCTTTGCGTACAAAGAGGTTGAGCTCGGGAGGGAAGGGTTTTCCCCATGAATCATAATCAGTCCTGGTCATGGGCCAGCCCGTTTCCTTCCCTAGACGGTCACTTCCTCATCGGCATAACGAGGAGCCACAGCCCTGAGAATGCAGTGGTGACCGGGACGCAGGGGAAGGGAGTGGCGGCCCGCCGGGAGCCCTGGTGGGCAGAGCTCGGGTGGAGAGAGAGGGCCAAGGACCCCAGGGGCTCCTCGTCCCAGCCCGGGACACTGGCTCTTCCAAACCCGACCCAGGGCCTGAAACTCCACCATCGGCATTGGCCTCTCTGCATGCCGCCTCATGGAAGGCAGATCCCCTCGGCCGGGCCGGGCCGATCCAGGCGGCCCGGGTTACATTGGGTCCTTCTTCACGGGCCAGAATGAGTAGAGGAGAAAGCCGGATGTTAGAAAGACCCTGGTTCTATTTCCAGTGGATCCGTTTTGCGCCCTGTGTGACCTGAACGTCCTCAGCCTCGGTTTTCCCATCTGTAAAATGGGAATGGTCACAGCGCCTCCCTGAGTAAGCTTGTGAGGATAAAATGAAGCTGATCAGCGTGAAGGGGTTGGCACAGTGCAGGGCATGTTATGTCGCCTCCCCCCCCCCCCCCCCCCCCCCCCCCCCCGGCCCCCCCCAGGCCTGCAAGCTTCCTGAGAGGAGGCACTTGTCTGGTTTCTCTTGTCTCTGCAGCCCGGGTGGGTTCGTTCAACACAGCTCGGCGGACAGTAGGTGCCCGGTGAACATTTGTCGATGAATGAGTGGAGGCTGCGGATATGTAGATAACGAGGATCCGCACACATTCCCGTGTGTCACATACGTTCCTTGAGCCCTTGCCCCGTGCCTGTCCTGCTGCCTGGTGCCGGGACCCATCGGTGACCCCGGCGGCCCCGGCCCCGCCCTTCTGGCGCCTACAGTCCAGTGGAGAGACGAGTCTGTCCCCAGACGGTGACCAGCCAGAGTGGGCAGGGCTGAAGCGGATGAACTCAGAAGGAGCTGAACCAGCTGGAGGGTCAGGGAGGGCTTCCTGGAGGAAGAGGTGTCTGAGCTGAGACCTGGGAGATGAGTGGGGGTGGGGCAGGCAGGGTGGAGTGCTGTGCTTGTGGGCATGCTCCCAGCACAGGGAGCCAAATGTGAAGGGCCTAGAAGCAGTTCGGTCTGGTGGACTGTAGACCGCAGACCTCAGGGTGGGGGTGAGGGTCAGGGGTGCTGAGAGAGGCCGAGGGGCCTCCTGGAGCCAGACCTCCCAGAGATTTGCAGGCTGTGGCGAGGAGCTTGGACTTTAAGGGCACTGGGGAGCCATGGATGGTTCTGAGCAGGGAGAGGCAGTACTGAGTTTGGGATTCAGAAAGATCCCTTGGGCTGTCTTGTGGGGGGGGAGGGTAGGAGGGGGCAGGAGACCAGGTAGGAGGTGACGGGGAGAAATATCCTGGCCCAGGGCTGGGCTGTAGAGACCCCAATCCCAGGAGGCCCTAGGAGGCGGGTTCCGGTGCTTGTCCTTCCCTGAGGGTAGAAGGCGCCTATGCTTTGGGCCTGGGCAGCTGGGTGCATTCTCAGGGCACCCAGAAGGAGGAACAAAGGCGCAGAGGCTAAGGACAGGTGCAGGGAGGTGGGGTGCGAGAGACTCCAAGCGGCCTGGGAGCTTGTCTGTGGGTCTGCACGGTCCTCTGCTGCCCCCTGCTGGTTCTGCATTGACACGGGTCCTGCCTGCAAGCCCGGCTTTAGGACGGACCCCAACCGGTGATAGAAGATGACATTTCTGGGGCGGCCATGCTGCAGGGTGCACCCACGTGCACTGTCTCCACACCCCTCCCCCCGGGTCGCTGCCTCCTGTGGTCAAGCCAGACACCTGGGGGTCCCCCCCCCC